CCCCTCCCGAGGGCGATCTGTGGGCTGTGGCGGGGCAAGGAGGGTGTGGGCGGGGGGTGAAGGGCGGGGGTGCGGAGAACGGAACGTAGACGGGGGCGCTGGAGGAGTCGGAGTTGGGGGAAGAGTGTGAGCCGGGAGGACGCGGGCACCCTACGGGTCAGGTCTGGAGGTTAAGGAGTGGGAACCAAGTGGCGGGGCGGGGGGACGCGGAGGAGGAGTGTCAGGCCGGGAGATGATGTGTTGTGCCTGGGGAGCGGGGGGAGTGAGGGAACAGTGGGGGAGGTGTGCGCCCGGGTGTCGGGCTGGGAGGTAAAAGTGATCGCGTGGAGAGGCTCCCAAGGCGTCGTGGGCGGGGTCCCGGAAGGAAGGAGAACGAAGGTGTGGGGTGTCCCCTGGGATGTCAGCGTTGGGGGGCGTAAGGGATTACTTGAGGAGTGGAAGAGGAAGGTATAAGCGAGTGGGAAACTCAGGTGATGTCTGGGACCTGGAGCGCTGGCGGGCAGGGGGGATGAGGAAGTTCTGGAAAACAAGGCTGTTGGCAAAAAAATTCGAGGAGGGGCAGTGGGGCAGGTAAGATTGAGGAGTTAAGGTTTGTCAGGGAGAGGAGTTAGGGTCTGTCAGGGAGAGGTGTGGGAATGAGGAGCAGACGAGAGGCTGTGAGGGTACAGAAATATCCAGAGCGTGAGGATCAGCTCGTGCTTGGGCCAAGGGCCTCGGTCTATTTAGACTTTTTTGGCAGACCTAGTCTAGAGAGAAGAGGCAAAGAAGCTAGGGGATCCGGTTAGAGTCTGGTTTCGAAACAGATGGGTTCAGTGAAAAAGGTCGAAGGTGGCTGGAAAACCAGCTCCTGGAGAAAGGCAGTGGCTCGTGCCGCCTTCTGTTCTTGGTGGTGCTGAGCACCGTCCAGACAACCCTCCGGTTGGAGGGGGGGCAAGAAGCGGCCTGGAAGGGGTAGAGATGGGTCCCACATGGACCTGGCAGGGAGTGGGTCACCAGGGATGACCCCCTCTTCTGAGCACTCTCGCAAGTAAAGTGAATGGCAGAGTTGTGTGTGCATGTGTATGTGTACACACTGCTACCTCACTTTCCACACTCACCTGTTTAGTACCAGGCCAGATTATGGTCTGATGAGTAGTGTGATGCCTCTGGGATTTGTATTATATTTACCTTCTTGGCGAGTATTAAGCTCTCTCCCCCCTCCCTCTGTTCCCCAAGGTCCATCTGACATTAAGAGACCTAGGGACAGACAAAACAGTCTTAGAAATCTCAGGATTTTTGAGCTTAAATTTGTTTCTTCTCTCCCGTGCTTTGTAATTGGGAAGAAGGAAATGTATTTGTGTTTTTTATTTTATTTTAATTTTATTTTATTTTATTATTACTCAACTGCTTCAAACCAAACTCTCATGCTCCAAATAATTCAGTTTTCGTCTGAAAACTGAGCAAACTAGATGAGAGCATACGAATCCCAATTTATTTAATTTTGTTTTAGAGATAATTTTTATAAACCTCTAATCTAGCCTCATCCTGTGGAAAATTGGGAACTAAAATCAACTGAGTAGTAAATGGCAGCACTGCATCTAGAACCTAATTTTACTCCAGTTTGAAACCATGGTGGTTTTCAAATCTAGCTGCACAACCCAAAACAGATCTCTGGAGTTAAGACTCTTGTCATGGGTATATTTTTTTAATTTTTTAATTTTCCAAATGACTAATGTATACTGAGGGCTGAGAACTACACCATGTGCATTGCAAAACAGAAAATGGAGAAGAAACTGGGAAGCGGTAAACAAGCAAAAAGAACACTTCTAGGGAGACTGAATTTTTTTTAATCTAAACTTGAAAGTTGAGTTTTCTAATATTCGCACTTCCCTTTCCACTCATATGCAATGACTAGTACCAGTAAATACACATACCTATCACTTTAGCCTAGGAAACCCTGAGTGCCACTAAAATATACTAAGAGCTTTAAAAGGAAGGAGAGCAGAACTAAAAATAATCAAAAAAGGATGGGTGGAACATTCTACCTTATTCAGCTATTACAGATTTAAAGAAGTAATACCACTTCCACCTCTCAGCCAACTATCAACCCAAGCAAAAACAAGCCAGAATATACACTCTATCCTGAAGCTGAAACCCTGAGGTTGAAATAGTATAGTTATTTTGAGTACATAAAATGTGAACTTAAAAGTGGTTGTCCAGTTTGGACAATTTTCGCTTCCTTTACAGTAGAGAATCACATCCTGGGCCCTGCAGTTTTCTACCAGTCACAGAGCATGCTGGATGCCTGCGGCCATCTCCCAGCACCCCCACTGCCTTTCACCTTCCTAGAAACAGTGCCAGCATATGAAATACAGTGTGCACGAGCCAGTATCACTGGGACACCTGCCCTGGGATTGAAGCAGAAGTGAGTGAGTTTGCTGTTACTGCATTCCTTTTTACATTTCTTTACTAAAACTACATGTGTTTTTTCCTATTAAAGGGAATCCTTAGGGGTGAAAATATCTTAAAATCATCTTCCACATTTTTTCAAAATAAAAGTTTACATATCGTATAGATAGAATATATGTCACATAGAATTTTAAATGGGTTACTTTTTAAAGTAGTATGCCCAATTTAATATAAGATTGCTATACTCAGAACTAAAGAAAGTAAAATACCTTCGAAATATCTATTTTCTTATCTTACTATGTTATGGATCCTAGAGGTGTTTTGTTTGTTCTAGGTAACTATTTTACCTAAAATGTTTATCACATCTCACTGTATCCTATATAGCGTTATGTTTTACTTAGGATGTCCCTCAAATATATGAACACATTTGAAGTTGAGTTAAAACAGCACTGTTCTTATTTAACTTTTTAAATAACTGGCCATCTTCATCATTGAATTCTCAAGGTCTTCTTGACAGACCCAGACTAATTTAAAATGCAAGTCTTTCAATTCCTATAGGAACACCAGCCTGTGAGCCTGGGGACTTTCATTTCTTACATGTGAGTAAGGGCTACTTACTTATAACCTGCTAAGTAAATTATAGGAGGCATATCTAAACTAAAATCATAAACTAAAATAGTCAATCAGTAGAATTTACTGAGGACTCAGTACTCTGCTAAGATACCTGGTAGCTTCACAATGCTTGGAATCATTACAGCTCTTCTGCACATGAATGTATGTAGATGGCTGGCATTTCTACAGTTTCTCCTAACAGATCTCTCTGCAGCTCTACAGTCTTTTCTCAACACAGCATAAAGAGCAAGCCTCCCAAAACAATCAGATCATATCACTTCAATGGTCAAAATCCTGTGATGGCTCTCCATTTTACTCAGAGCTAAACTCCTTAAATAGTCTACAAGTCGCTCATGATCTCTGATTTCTTTTAGGCTTTCCTCTAGCTGTTCCCCGCGCCTAGAACACTCTTCACTAAGATATTTACTTGTCTCATTCCCTCTTCAGATTTTCACTCAGTTATCCATCCTATTTAATACTCCAGCCTGCCCCACCCACTGCCTGGTCACTCCAATCTTTTTTACCTTACTCAGCCTTTCCTTTTTCCATAGCACTTACCACTTATTATGTTTATCATTAATCATCATCTTACCAGAATATAAGCAGATGGACAGAGCTGGATTTTTACTAATGTATCCCAAGCATCTAAAACTACATGGCACATAATAGGTATTCCAACAAATACTGTTGAATAAATTTCTGGGGGGAGGATTTGTCATCATTATTGGTTTCAGTTGGGTGAGAGAAAGGGGGAAATCATTCTCTAAAGAGGGAAACAGGTACAGAGAACTATGATCTAAATACTTTGTCAAGGTACATAGGTTCATTTAGGATTCAACTCCTGCCTGCCTCTAGCCTTATCTCTAACCTAGCCTACCAACACATCCCCCTCTTCAGCCAGGATAACCTACTTGCACTTTACCGAATGTATAATTTCTCATCTCTGTGACTTCCTATTGCATCAGCTTGGATCACCTTTTCTACTCCCTGTCCCATAATCTTCCTACCAGTTACCTCCTTTGTCTTCACCGTTGCTCACCCCTTCCTTTCTCCTCCTATGTATTTGCGCTAGGCTCTGTTAGCACTACACAGACCTTGCTCATGAATAGCACTTGTCACACAGTGTTGTAGTCATTTATTTCCTTGTCTGTCTCCTCAACTAGACATGAATTCTTAAAGGGCAAGGAATATGCCTTTTACTCCAGTTTCCCCAGGGCCTATCATATTGTCTTTTATATTATAGGGACTCAATAAATGTGTGCTGCACAGTTACATGAGCAGTCATAAATAATGAGAAAAATCTCTCTTGTTAGAGTGTGAAAAGAGAGAGGCAGAGAGTTGTAGCAAAAGATAAACCTAATATGCTATACTAAGGAAATTGAACTCATTCTAGAGTCACTAGACTATAGGCAGTGGAGGGGATTTCTTTAGCCAGAGAACTGACATGATCAGCTCTGATTTTCAGGAGAATATCCTGCCTTCAATTCCTCATTCATAGCCAAACACCTGCTAATAGAATTACTGAAAGGACACAGATGTGCGTGATTTAGGCTTGGAGACACAAATAGAATTTTTTACTTCCTATCTTCAGAACTTATTTTTCTGGATTTTTTTTTCCAGTAAATTATGACAGCATGATAATGAGGCCAAGGTCATGGTTTAAATCCTTGGGTGACTCAGCCAATGCTGAGCTGACTGTAGCCACAGCTGACTGTTAATCTTTTCCATTTGTCAAATGACAACATGTTATTTCTTGACCAAGAACTGGGTGGAAGAATATGACGAGTTTATCAAAAGTTAATAAGTTTTATTGGAAAAGTAACTCAAAGTGCTTTGCCATGGTTATAGAACCATACTGTCATTTTAAATTAAAATAACAGTATTCTGTTAGTGATAACAAAAGAGTACAGCATCATGGAAAGAATGCATTGTTTGTACCTAGAAAAGAAGCTAGAGATTAATATGGTTGAATTACTGGGATTCGAAGCCAAGAAGCAATGAAAAATTTAGTGGATGCTAGTGTAGATGCTTTATTAATTACTTTTTGTGTATTTAGCAATACGCAAAGTTATTTCTTAATTATCATGTTATAAAACCCATAGTCATTTATATTGAAAGGATCTGAGAAAATCATATTCTATTCATCTTTCATTTATAGCATTATAAAGTTTTTTCTATTTTTATTCCTACTAATCAATGAGCACATCTTTAAAGTGAAATAGGACAATAGTAGAGGTTGGGACATATAGACATAACTGATGTTACTATTTTCTTAATTACATCTTTATCTTAATTACAACTCCGACCACTATGGAAGTGAAAAAAAAATTAAGTGAATTTTATGAGATCGGAAATAAATTAAAAACTTCTAATGAACAAATGGATCTAGGCTTTAAATAGCAACTCCTGCTAATATCATAAAAGGCAATCAGCCAGGCATATGTGCTACCTGATGGAAGAACACAACCTGTAAAGCTGTCTTACTAAAAATACATAAATAAAAACTGATTTGAACATCTAGTTCCACCTACCAATTTACAGGAAACACTGGGGACAGAGTAACATATTAAACTGTACCATGGGATTGCAATCTATGGAACACTGTACAGAAGATTCTATGGGACAAATCTCAGTTTTTCCAACTGGGATTGCAAGGAAAAAATAAAGAGATGGAAGGGGGAATCTATACTTTAAATGAAACTTAAATAACATCAACCTTGAAGTATAGGATTTGTGGATCTCACTTGGACCTGAATTTTTAAAGGAAAAAAGATAGGAGAAAACATTTTTACAAGAACTGGAAATATAAACAGTAGGTACTTGATGATAATAGGAAATTATTGTTTTCTTAGGTTGATGATATTTTAATGATGTTAATACAAAGAATCTTTAATAATACATGCAGAAATACCTATGGATGAAATTATATGATATCTGTGATTTGCTTCAAAATAATATAGATGGGAGTGTGAATGGGGCGAAATTGGCTATGGAAGATAGTAAAAAAAAATCTTCATAATAAAAATTTTTAGAAGGAGAATAAGCTTTTAACTTCTATTGTGGCTGTCTTTCACTAAACTAGGAAATCAACAAACTCAGATAACCCTTTATCAAACATTCTTTATTTGATAGATAACTATGTTAGTTAGCTGCTTTCACATTTTTTACCACCTCACACCATCCTATGAAGAATACCTGAGAGGTATTTTGACTAAAATAAGAGATTGAATTTCAAGGCAAATTTTCAGTGTAAGTCTCCTGGCTCCCTGTCCAGTATTCATGACTCTATACACGATTGCTAAAAATGATTCTCTATATATTCTGTTTCCCTGATTAAATCTGTGTACACCTCTACCGTAGTATCTGGCATATAATAGCCATCATAAAATAGATATATTTAACCTAACTTGCTCCCTAATAGTTATCATACTTAAAACGCAAAAGAAATTATAACAGAAACTAATGTTTAGTTATGTTCCAGTTTGCCTGACACTATTCCAGATTGCCCAGGACAGTCGTTTAATCTGGATAATTATTAACTGCAACTATTTTCTTTCTCATAAGTATCCCACTTTGCACCTCAAATGTTATGGTCATGTTATATTCAGATAATATAAATTAGGCTCAGATGCACAATATGTAATGGGTATAGAAAATATATAAAACTCGAACAGTATGTTCATAGAGTAAAGGTCCATGTTATAACCATCTTGTAATGACCATACTACATGCTAGACATTTAATAAATTTGGCTGGAATAGAGTTAATGAATTCTACATTAGAGAAGAGTAAATTACCTTATATTCTCTCCCCAGACAAGATTTTGACCCCAGCTGGAATCCAGTAATAACTAATACTAATACCAGGAATATCAAGCCCATCTTCTAATGAAGATTCATAGCAAAAATAGATCAAACTGCCTAGGATTTGTAAGACATGCATAATAATTGATATATAGAAGTCATGTACATAGCCTGAAATACAGTGCAAGAATATAGTCATAGCAAGCTTCTCAACTGGAATAAAAGATAATAGTTGTTTATTTGAAAGCATGTAGGAAATGAGTGTAGAAGTCTCAGCCAAAATCTAATCACTTAGCCTGCAATACAAGATTTCCTACAAAATTGTGGCTTTCAAAGGGTGGGTTTATCTTCTGCAACATGAACTGGATGCCGTACACTTCAACTGTCTCCCTCTGCCTACTAGAGTCACTTTAATCTTATCTAGATGGTGCCTGATCCAATTGCTTTCACCCATGTTCTTTATTCTGTCAGACAGTGAAATTCAAGAAACTACATCCTAGATCTGATGAAAGGAGATGCAAAGCTTACTATCAGCTGTGTAGTGATGGCACTCATCACTAATTACTTCACTATCTTTCTGATTAGTGTCATATAAGACTAAACTGAAAGGGTGATAGAAAAGAGCCCTGTCATTGCCTTCAAGGGAAAGGTGAAGAAAAGATTAGCAAAAGACATCAAGAATAATACAAGTTTATTTGAGTCTTTACCTTACTTAGTCAAAGGAAATTTAGTTTATACAAATACCAAAGAGAGAAAAATAATATATTTATTGTCTGGAAATTTTGTGGGGTGCCTAGTTTATACAGATAAAATGTCACCATGCAGTTAAATGAGATGCCCTATGTATAATATTTAGCACAATGTCTAGAACAGAGCAAGTATGCAAATAAACATGTGTTTGTCCCCACCACTCCCCCAAAAAAATCACCATGGCAATAATTTTGAAAAAATCATTCAACTTTGGGGGCTTCAGTTTTCTTATAAAATAAAAATCTTCTATACAATTATCAGTAAGATTCTCTCTACTTTTCAAATGTAATGATTCTGTGAAATACTACCATTATCTAATACTCACTTTGAAATGTATCATTCAAACAGCAAGCATGTATTGAGAACTATTGAGAATAACGTAACCATAAGAAATAATGTCTACCTCAAAAAGTTCAGTCTAGTATGAGAGACAACAAATACTTATAATCCATTGTGGTACATGCTATAAGAGAGGTATCTATAAAATTATGTGGGAGTACAAAAAAGATATAGCTAACTCTTATGAGAAACCATAGTAAAAATTTTTGAATAGGTTTCGGAATGGAAAGTTATTTAGGCCAAGAAAGAAAGATGAATACATGGAATTGCAAATTATTTCGTATGACTTGAAGTGTGGGTTTTAAGAGATTGGGAAGTAGTTATTGGAGATGAAACTGGAAACTGAGTTGGACCAAAAACTCGAAGATATGCTAAGAAGTTTGGACTTCATCCTGCAACAGTGCTTCTCAAACTTGAATGTCCATGAAAATCACCTTCGTAGATTTCATTATAATGCAGATTCTGATTCAGTTAGTTTAGGGTGGAGCCTGAATTTCTGCATGTCTAATGAACTCCAAGTGATGCCTCCTATACTGCTGAACTATGGACCACATTTTGAGTGTGAAGTGTATTCTAAAGCTGGGAAGTGAAATGGTGAGATTGTTTTTAGGAAAGAGTACAATGAACAGGTAGGAAGTTAAGTGGAAAGAAGCAAGAGTGGTCGTAAAGAGAAAAATTGGGAAGCTATTAAAATAATAAGGGTCAGATAGTGATAGTGGAAATAGAAAGGAGATAGTATTTTTAAGACAGTTTTAAGATGTAGGGTGAAATAGGACTTGGTGAATAATCAGTTGTGCCATGAGGGAAAGGAGTCCACAGAAGAATCCAGCCATCTTAATTTTATTAAAATGAATAAAATTTCATTAAATCAACCTTGAATTGCATTCCAAATATAAGATAAAAAATATACTTGTTTGAATACAGCAATCTTTGGCAATTGTTCTGTTTAACTCTGCAACAATCTAAGGTTGATCTAGAGCTATGTTGTCCAATATGGTAGCCACTAGCCATAGCCATACTAGCTACATGTAGCTATTTAATTTTAAAGTTATATTAATCTATTATTATATTAAATAACATTAAAATTTTAGTTCATTGCTTAACACTAGTCATATTTCAAATTTTTAACAGCTCTATGTGGCTAGTGGCTACAGTTTTGCTTAGCACCAATATAGAACGTTTCCATCTTAGAAGAAATTTCTACTAGACGGCACTGATAGAGGACCATTTAGGCATCTATATTCCAAGGAACAAACATTATGAAAAATTTCCCATTGTCTTTGTGTATTTCTTTTAAAATGTATCCTTTTCTTCTTGGAAGATATTTTAATATTTTTTAAAATGCAACAGTCAATGAATTAAGGAATGGGAACTTTCGAAAACCATATGGAAGGCGAGGAGATATTGGCAGACTCAACATCATTTTCCTTTGAGAAGCAACACCAAGGTTTGGAAATCCCAAGAGACGTTTCAAGATCATAACACCCTTGAGAAAATGAGCTCATTTGTAAGTAGGTCTGTGAGAATGATAACAGACACATTCCCCATATGTAAGCGATGGATAAATAAGCCTTGTGCAATTGCAATGAGTAGTTTAGTCAAGAAAAACTGAATACAGAAGTGTAAAGATAAAGTCTATTCCAAGACTTTTCCCCCTTAACAACAGTTAGTTTACCAATAAAGAATGTTTTACTTCTTAGGAAAGTGATCTGTAAAGGAAATTTCAACGCAAACTGACAAACAATAAAGAAATGTATTGGCTCATTTAACTAAAAAATCCAGAATTAGATAAAGTATCAGAATTGGTCAATCCAGCAGTCTAGCTATGTTTTTATCAGGGTCTCAGTTTCATTCTGGATCTGTTCTTCACTGTCCATGGTGTTAACTTTATTTTAACAGTGATCATTTTCACTGACATAATGTGACTGATCAAACAATCAGGGCCTTTCCATATCTGAGCTAGTCAGCTCCCATATCTAGTCAACTGAAGTTCTAAACTGTGCACTGATTGGATCACTCTCATTCATCCCTGTGGGCAGGGCAGGCCATGCTGTAGTGACTTAGGTCTGACTAACCTGAAACCATATTGTCACAAGGGTAGGCTTAGCCCACCCAAACCACACGGTTGCCTAATAATGGGAAAAGAGTGAAATATATGTTGGAGAAATAGCCATAATATTTACTACGTCAGCAGAAAAAGAATATTGACTATTTTTTTAGTTTTCACTTATTTTTGAAATCTTTTCAAGTGATATTTTCATGATAAGAAATACACTTTGAAATGTAAATGAGCAAATGATGTTTCAGATTCACAGATGAAAATCACATTAGAGCATACGGAAGAAAACGGTGGCATGAAGGTGTTAAGTCTTACTTTTGTGCAGCCACAAAAAGTGGGAGAAATGGACTCAAAAAGAATTGATATTATAAGGATAATTGAGATATATCTAGATTTTACCCTAGAACTCCAGGTGAGAATCTTTGATAAAATGGAAGCAGTACCAAAAATGAAATACAAGGACGTTGGCCACCCCACTGTTAAAATATATACACATAAGAATTAATTATTCTATAAATAGAGTTTCTAATATACGATTGTATATTGAATTGATTATCCATGATAAGGTACAACCTTAAACACGTTATTGCTTATCTTTTCTCCACCATTTATTGGAGTATTTTTATTCAAGTTCAGTAGAAGCACTGCAAAAGGTTTTTCAAAGTAGCTGAGGGGACCCATGGTAGATGCAGATTTAAAAAATAACGCCTCCACTTTGGTTTACTCTCACTTTATGTTTAATGAGTTTCAACTACTACCTCAATGAAACTAACAATTAAAACTGAATCTCCAGTTTCAGTCCTTCATTCTTAGCTGTCCATATAGCAATTACTTGAAGATACTGATACCACTTCAAACTTAATATGCCTAAAACAATTTATCCACTATCGCCTTCCCCAACAACAAAAAGCTAGTTCCTTTACCGACTTCCATTTTTCTGTCACTGAAGTCGTCATTTTTCCCCCAAATCTTCTGATGTAGGAATGTCAAAAACATCTGTGATTATTCCTTATGTTTTTCTTAATATCTAATCAACCCCTACATAATATTAATTATTTCTTATATCTCAGAGATGACCCTTAACTCATGCTCACTGCCACCACTCTAGCCTAAATTATTATCACATCCCACTCAAATAATTGCAATATTCTAGGTAAAAGGTAGGAGAAAAATCATTGGACTTTGAGTCAGCGTACCACTAATTACTTATGTATCACAATCTTGAGCCCAAAATTTCTCTATAAAATGAATAAGACTGGACAAGATTATCACTATGTTCTTCTTGGTTCTAAAACTTTGTGTCAGGACTATTTTCCCTTGCTTCGGTTTCTTCTACTCTTCCAAATCACTCTGTACACTGCTGCCAGAATAACCTTTTTAGAAACACCACTTTGATTATGACATGTAAAGGCAGACTAAAGCAATAGCTAAGAGGGCCAGCTCTAAGGTCGTACTGCAAAGATTCTAATCTCAACTTTGCCATTTACCAAGCACGTTACTAAGCATGCTCCTTATCATCAAACGGGAAAAGACAGCACCTCATTTAAGAGTTCAATAATTAAGTGAGGTAATACATGTATAACGCTTGGCACATTCTAAATGCTCAATAAATATTTGTTTTTCTTAAATTTCTCAATCAAATCTCATTAATTGACCTTGCCTACAAATCAAGTCCAAAAACCTTAGCCTGGGTTAAATTTTTCTACATTTATATCTGAACTACTTTTTTTTACAGTTGCCCTTACTATTGCATTCTATAAACCCTCTACCCCAAATATCCTGGTCTACTCTTTGTCTTCAAGAGGTTCCTGACTTATTTGCCTCTCTTCAATATTACTTATTCCTGGAACACCCCAGTCTCTTTACTTGTTTGAAAGGTACTCACGTAAATCAGAAGGCTTCCAGCTATATGAAACAAAAAGCCAACTTAAACTAAGTTAAACGAAAATATAATGGTCTAGTGGTAAGACAGGTTTTGGATTGGCTTAATTTAGGTGTTCTACCTCTTCTTTGCAGGTCTCTTGGCAGTATCTCCTCTGTTTGGCCCTCAGACTGACTTATATCAAGAAAAATAGCTCTAGTGGTTCCAGATTTCACATGGACCTTGTCGTTAGCGGAAGAGAATCTTCCCAACATTCTAAACGAAAGTCCTAAAATTCACCTTAATTGGATCACATCCTCTTCTTCCTATCCTCCAACCCCAGCCCCGGCAAATGATGTGACAAGGGGAAATGAAATGTGCCAATGATTGGATTAAATGAACCACAGCTTGAGGTGGGATCAGCTTTCCCCAGAGTACTTATGGAAAGGATATTATCCAAGTTAAAATCTGGATGCTGTTCATAATGGAAAAACAAGCAATGAATGTTGGTTATGGAGCCAACGGTGTCCATTCCACCATCTTTAAGGCCCAATTAAAGACCATCTGTTTGACAATGTCAGTTTCTATAAACACAGCTTTGACTTGCTTTATACTGAGTCTTTTATGCTTGTATGTCTTGCCTCCCTAAGCAGATTATAAGTTCCTTGAAGTCAGGGACATTGTATTCCTATTCAGCACTGAGCTGCATACAGAGAGCACTCCATGAAATAGTTTTATCGTTGATTCCATGCTACATATTTGGAAAGTGAAAATAGGTGGTTGAAAGAAGTGGGATGGGTAAAAAAGAGTATCTCAACTTTTAGAACTGCCCTTGGGAGAGAGTAACAAGTTAAGCAATGGATCTCTAGGTGAAATAACTCAGGTAGTTTCTCTCCCTAAAACAGGAGCCCTCAGAATCCCATTTTTGCTTTCAGAATGAGTTTGAGGGCATTATGATTTTTTAATAGCTGTGTTCAATAATTATATTTATGTCTCTAGGAGGGGCTTTCTTAGCCTTAACAATCTCAATTTAAGTTTTTTTATTTCCTTAGGATCTTCCAAAGTGTTTTCTCTAAAGTGGCATCTGGGAAAACACATATATATATTCATTTATTTCATAACTTCTCCCTTCACGTCTTTATTGCTTCTCTAACTATTAGATCTCAACATGCTCTTGCAAACAGGACTTATTGACAGTCTTCATCCTTTGCAAGTTGAAGTGATGACAGACCCACTACTTTGATAAAAATGTTTTGTTATTTCTATACATAATATTTTATTATTGGAAACTACACATTATGTATTTTGCTGAAATGTTATGACTTGAAATTTGGTTATCTGATATGTCTCTCATAATAAAGGCTTCACAGTACAACTTTTGCTTGTTGATTTGCTGGCATTTTACTTTTTTAACTCACATTTTTAATTCAAATATGACTGATCTGAAAAATTCTCCTTCAGTTATTGCACTTCAAAAGAAGAAAGCAAATCCAGCTGTCTAATTATGACACAATCTTTTATTTATAAATGGAGAAGATTAGCACTCACCTAATGCTTTTTTCTCTTTATTACACATACTCCTAATAATGCTAAATGAAATGAAGGTGCTATATAAAGTTAAATTTACCAGGGCAACATAGTAAAGTATAAAAGTGCAAATTATTAACATGTTAAGAAAGAATTCATTTCTAAAAAGAGATTTAATAAACAGTAAATATGCAAATAACTACTGCAGTTCCGTTCAAACCTTAAAAAATTTATTTTTAGGTAATGGTTCTAATAATTCTTCTGTCTGCCTCCTACTAAATTATGAAGTACTTGAATGTATATGAAATGCCTTATTATTTTTCACCTATCTTCTAGCATAGTGTCTTCTACCCCACTGAATATTTATTGAATTTAATTTAAAATCAGTAAGCCCTGTTAATAAACAATCGATAGGCAACGTTTGACTCTAAAGTCCTGACATTTGAAAAGAAACACTGAAGCATAGAAACGTTATTTTCTTCATTTAAAATGTTGAGGAATATTTTTCTTCCTTTTGCCCTTAACTTTATTGTTAGCATAAGTATTTAAAATGTTTAACTATATCTGGTTAGGTAAATTGATGAAACATCACTTTTCCAAATTCTAGCTCACCTTCATTTTAATTTTAATTTTATCTTTTAATTTTCTTTTTTATAGAAGAAAATGAAAAATTATTAAGCTCTTCTAGTTCAGAGTGCAGAAGGTCATAATTTTCTGCTTCAGAATTGCTGATGTTTTTTCCTTCTTTATTTTCAGTGTGTTTCTATGAGAAAACTACTCTGTTGTTACTGCATGTGTGTTATATGATTAAAATCATTTTGTAATGATGACGATAACCCTTTAGATCACTTCTTCACAGAACGCTCAAGAAGTTGGCAGATCTGTTAACTTCAACAAGAAAGGTTTGGATAACTCACTGTGAATTGTAATAATTCTAATAATCCACTATGGATAAGGCAGGTATATATCTCAGCCTAGAAACGTGAACTGCATGAGAAGACCCTGGTTAGTCTGAGACATTTAAATCAGGCTCCTAAACGTTGGTCCAAGAATGACATAAAAACAGCTTATGAGATGCCTTGTGTTATTGAGGCAGGGAGATGAAATGCTTGCAAAATTGATCTATTCTTTGAACTTTACTGTGTGGTTATAATGAGCTCATTATCAAAAACATACCTTTTTTGTTTTTTTTTTGGCTATTTAATTTTTTGTTCTATCTTAATATTTAGTAAAGTTTTCAAAATGACCACCTATTTCTTCTGTCCTAAGGAGAACCAAGGAAGGATATATTGTTCACGTTTGGACCAGAGTTAGGTATCCAGCATAATTCAAATGGGACAGCACAAATTTTCCCAAGGAAAGACGAAAATAAAGGTGAAAGAGTTAGGGTCATTTACTTGGCTTCTCCTCCTAGAGATGTTCCTTCCAAAATTTTCACTGAAAGAACTTCAGAGGGTTTTGTGTTTTAGCTTTTTTAAGAATAAGGCATGCCTCTGTGATACAGCATATAATACTTTTACGAAGTGTGTAAAATCACTTAAACATGTCAACTCATGTGGTTTCCCTAAGAGAAAGAGATAGCAAAATAGTAAGGAAAATCTCAGCAAAACAAGACTAAAGACATGAGACATCTTTGACTATTACCAACATCATCAATTTAATTATAGATCCCATGGTGCCTGATGATTACTTTCTATGCCATGTGATGCTGGACAAAGATAATTTCCTAACGGCTTCAAGTATTCAGTAATAATTAACAGTATGAGATTTAACAGAGTTGAAATAATATTGAGAGATAGGAAAAGAAGATATAAAAATTCAATTAGAGAGAAGCTTAGAAGAGTTAAAAAGAGAAATAGCATTGAGATCAGGGGCAATTATGGGTTGGGTCTTTACAACTATAACTGAGAAAAAATGACAGAAGAAACAGCTGAGGGAAAATTCTTAATGTATATAAAATGTTCCTATATTTTAAAGGAATAGAAGATTATACCCAGGAGGTACATAAAGGGTGGAGAAATGTGGTTCTCATTAGCTTCAGTCAACCAATTTTCAGTGTTGCCCAGATTAGTTTTATCAATTCTTCCAGGCTTGTAGGCTACAAAAATAAGAACTACCTTTGGTTCTTTTCTCTCCTGCGTCCCCTATACTATATATATACTATCCCTAAATCCTTCTATTTTCATCATTTTCTCTACTCTCACTTTTTTTTCTTATCCACTACTACTACCCCAGCACAGTTCACCCTGCTTCAGCCTATCTCGTATATGGCTATCAGATTAATATTTATAATTATTATTATCACATCACTATTCATCCTCTCAAGAATCTGCATTGCCTACAGTATCAAGGCCAAGCTTCTCTTTCTGAGAAATGGGAGCCCTCCACAGTCCAACTCCCGTCTACTTGCATAAATTTTATTTCCTCATACTGCCTATAACATACACTCATTTCCCACAGGGACATCTATTTAGGCACTTCCTCCACAATGCCAAGTACATTTGCTTTAATGCCTGTGCAAATGCCAGTATATTGCTGAAATGACTTTGCTGCTTCCCTCTCCTCTAAATTGTCTCACATTCAAAGTTCAGTTCAAATCCTACTGCCAGAATGAGGCCTTTTCCACTCTAGCTCTTACAACACAGATGCCTTTTATTTCTGAAATCATTCTATCCTTAGAGTTAGTGCAGATAAGAACTATTTTATTTTTTAATGCTTTACTAGGAAGATTGTAAGCTACTTAAGACATGGGCCATATTTTTAACTCCTTTTTCTTTTTTTGCAATAATGTGTAAAATGAGGTAGGCCTTTATTAATGCTTTGACTCACAGAAAAACAAATTTAAATTTGAAAATTATGATTTATGAAAAATCTTTAGGAATTTGTACAAATTTAGATAGTATTTATGTGGTGTAAGTTTTTATAACTTGTTAAACAACTTTTTAAAAATAAACTTATACTCATAGCAAAAAAAAAGTTCAAAAGCTTTCCTCTTTCCCCCAGCCATCCTATCCCCAGTTCCACTCTATAAAAGTAACCATTATTAAGTTTTGTTCAAAATCATTAAGAAATTTGCTATGCATATACAGTATGTAATTAAGGCAAATAAGATCGTAAGATACATACTGTTCTGCCAATTTACATTTTTATTTTAATATATATCTTGGGCACCTTTCCATATAAGTACTGTTAGAGTTACATTACTCTTAATTTTTTGGATACTTTTCTATTTATATCAGACCACCATAGTTTATTTAACCAATCCTTTATTAATAGACATTAAAGTTATTTCCAGTTGTCTTGCTATTACAGTGCTATGATGAATATCCTTTTTACACGTGTTTGTGCACTCATTCAAGTATATCCTAGAAGAGAAATTTCTAAATCAAATGATTGATGCATGTTAATTCTTTAATGATTGTCAAATGCTGTCCTCTAACAAGTCATACAAACTTACACTCCCAGCTACTGTGCAAAAGAGCTTGTTTCTCTACACTCTCACCAGCACTAGATATTACAGTAATTTTTAACCTTTGTCAATCAATTAGATGAAAAATATTTTCTTGCTATCATAATGTTCATTTCTTCAATTACGAATGACAAATGTTTATAGATCATTTGTGTGGAGTTACTGCAAAATGTCTGTTCCTCTTCTTTGTCTTTTGCTTACTGATTTCTACAAATTATTTGTGTATGATGGAAATTGGTCTTCTGTCTGTAACATGTATTAAGAATATATTTTCCAGTTTGCCTTTTTTCTTTTCAATAGTTTATAGTATATTTTTCTCATATAAATGCTTCAATTTTTTTTGTCATCAACTTTATCATAATCTTTTTGCTCTGTAGAGTCTGTACCTTGTATCATACTAAAGACCTCATCTCCAAAAGTATTTTCAAAAATTTACCTATTTTCCCATTGACATTTTTGTGGTTTTATTTCTTTTTTTTTTTTCAACTAAATATTTTATCTATCTGAATTGGGGACAGGGACTAGGGACATTATAAGAAATGAAATAGAGATACAGATTTTTTTTCTAAATAGCCAGTTATTCCAAAATGATACATTGAATAATTCATCTTTTCCTAATGTATTTAAGATATGTGTATATGCATGTGTGTCTATATACATACATACATACATACATACATATATATAGGCAAGTTTTGCCTCTCTCTCTCTCTCTATATATATATATACAGAGAGAGAAAGAGACAGAGAGAGAGAGGGGCAAACTTTGTTATTAGCTATTTTATTATTGTCAAGCAGAGGTCTGACTAACAGATTTGGCCAGAAAAGAAACAACAAGCTCTTTTTAGGATTCAGTTTATTACTTACATAGCAAAAGGAATAGTATGGAAAGGGGAAAGGTGCCAGCTTGCTGTGGCCCTTGGGAGTGGCAACACCAAAACATAAGAGACCTGATGACTGTCACACAAATGATGGGATACCCTACTGCTGAGAAGCCAATGTCACATGGCTGTAGCTGTGCCCTAAGTAGTGGGTGGGAGCAAGGCAGAAAGCCTCAGACTCGTCAGAACCCAGGAGGTGAAGAAAAACTGTTTCATGACACTCTCCCTGGTAGATAGGGGGTGAGTGGGAGTTGGCCATGTAGCAACAGCTCCTAAGCCTCTCATGTTCTCATGTTCTGGGAAAATCAAGCATTCTGCCACAGCGGCTGCAGTTTAATCTTGCTTACATGGCCTACGTGAATACGTGCAAGTTTGTCACACACCAGCATGGAACTATTGCCTTATAACTGGTAGTCCCTTCTTACTGTGGTCATATGAAACCCAAAGCCCCAATATATAGAGTTAATGAACTCATCTTAGCTCAAATTTGTTTCAAAGATTTG